GTGCTCAGTGAATCAAGCTCAGTCACTTTAAATGAATGTGGCTTTCAAGGAATTAGCTTTACAAGAGGAAACAAGAGTGGATCATTTTACATTTCTGGCTCTTTTTTTTTTCCAAATGTGGGAGGCTTCCTCCATTTCACACATTTGGCATATTGTCCAGTTAGTCCTCCTTCCTGAAAGGAGAACCTGCAAATGCAGACCGCAAGTCAGGACAAGGAACATTTCTTCCTCTGCTCCAAACTTCTGCCAATCCCAATGAATGATTGATCAAAGATGGGATTTGAATTCAGATCATTTCTGCAGTTATGAAATGCTTAAAGGCTTCCTTCCTCTTTACCGAAGAAGAAAAAGATGACCACTGTTTTGTTTGAGAGTAATTCAGTTCCCCTTCCCAGTGATCAATCTGCATTTCACAGCACTGCTCTGGCTGCAGTTTCACCTACAATATATATCTATAGCATTCAGCTAGTATTCGCCGTTGTACATGTGTTCAAGTGAACTCCAATTTTATGATCTCTTTCAGGATCTGAGGGGTTTTTTTTTCATTCCAGACCATTGCCATGTCCACCCCACCCAGATTCCTTATCACTATGAAACATATTTCCAAGGAATTCACTCCAAGCAGATACTTGGCAGAATAAAGTAAGCATTTGAATACCTTTCTCCTCAAACCAAGATATACTTTTGGCTAGTGCCTCATCATAAGGTCTGCCTTATGCCTTGTATTTTTGCTTTACACTTGCAGCAGGAAAATAGAAGTACACTGAAAGACTTTACAATAACCTCACTTTGGAAACATATCCCTCTGATTGTGAAACAGCGCATACCAGTACTAAGAAGCATTAATATTAACTAATGTCTTCAGGCAGAAAGAACTAAAAAAGAATGTGTTCTGCCTGTCTAGAATTGCTCACAGGAGTGCTGCATGTTGTCTTCTAAGCTCACTAACACAAGGAAAAAAATCAACTCATTTTGAAAGAAAAATAATTTTTTTTTATCACAATGAAAAGGAGTGAAGGTAAGATGAAGCAGGAAGACCAGCAAGAGGATTAACTCTTGCCTGCAGCAAAAATACAGTTTGCCTGGAGATATGATGATATCCCTGAATACAGGAACAAGATTGGTGCAGTGTCATCCCATCATGAGCTGGGAATAAGGGCAGTCATTCCTATGCTCATCCTCATGCAAAGCACAAACATAGCATAGAAATAACAGACACTTTGGTTGAAGATTTTGAAACAAAATGCTTATTTCCATGCAGTGTGCCAGTGAATCATAGAATCATAGAATGGTTTGGGTTGGAAGGGACGTTTAATGGTCATCTAGTCCAGCCCCTTGCAATGAGCAGGGACATCTTCCACTAGATCAGATTGCTCAGAGCCCCGTCCAACCTGACCTTGACTGTTTCCAGCTATGACTTCTCTGGGCAACCTGTAAAGACCCCTTTATGCAAATCACAAGGCACTCAATACTTCTCCCCTGTGACAAGTAGCAATGGTTAATTCCCAAACAGCTTTCTCTAGGAAGGCAATGCAAGTGTAGATCTTCTATCTTTTGATAAATCTCTAAGGAAATACCAGGATTCTGTGACTGTTTTGCATGTTCCTTTTGACAAAATTTAAATGGGATTTGGAGTGGCAGACGTTGTGACACCTGGTATCCTAATGCCTCAAGTGGGATCTTCCTGGAGGAGGACCAGGTTAGGAAACTTTTAAGCAAACTGGACATACATAAGTCCATGGGGCTTGTTTGGATTCATCCACATGTGCAAATGGAGGTGGCTGATGGTGTTGTGAGGCCATTCTTGATTTTATTTTTTTCCCATGGTGACAGGGAGAAGCTTCTGGAGACTGAAAGAAAGCAAGTGTCACTCCTATCTTCAGGAAGAGCAAGAAGAATGAGATAGGGATCTACAGGCCAGTCAGCCCCACCTCAATCCCTGAGAAGGAGATGGAGCAACTTATGCTGGAAACCCTTTCCAGACACATGAAGGATGGGAAGGTGATCATGAGTAGATAGCATGGATTTATGAAGGGGAAATTATGCTTAACCAACCTGGTAGGTAACTAACTCAGTGAGCAAGGAGAGAAGGGTGGATGTTGTTTACCTCAAAACTAGCCGGGCATTTGACATGGTTTCCCATAAATCCTCATAGACAAGCTGACAAAGTATGGGTTAGGTAAGCGGACAGTGAGGTGGACTGAAAACTGGCTTGTGTGATTGGTGGCGCAACGTCCAGCTGGAGGCCAGTCAGTAGTGGAGCACCCCGGGGTGGATACTCGTGCCAACACTGTTTAACCTTTTCACTGATGACCTGGATGCTGGGTCAGAGTGCCCCCTCAAGAAGTTTGCAGATGATACAAAGCTGGGCAGGAGCAGCTGATGTACCAGATGGGGGTGCCGCTGTTCAGAGGGACCTTAACAGGCTGAAGAAACGGGCAGACAGGAATCTCATGAGGTTCCACAAAGGTAAGTGCACAGTCCTGCCCCTGGGGAGGAACAACCCAGGCACCCATACACACTCAGAGCTGAGTGGCTGGAAAGCAACATTGCTGAGAAGGACCTTGGGGTGCTCCCTGGTGGACACCAAGCTGACCATGAGTCAGCAATGCATGGCAAAAAAGTCCAACAGTATGCTGGGGCGTGTTAGGAAGAATATTGCCAGCAGGCTGAGGCAGGTGATCCTTACCTCTACCCAGCCCTGGTGAGACAGGTGAGCAGAAAAGATTTTAAATTCTTCCACCCCATAGATGCTGCCACTTAATTAATGTCCTCTCAGTTTCAAGTCATAGGATAAAACGCATAAAAGGCTGCCTGGGTAGAGAGACCTGTTACTGAATTAGTGTCTTGATAGACACACAGGAGCTTTGGTGAAAGAACGCCGTGTGTCTAGTACTTAAACTTGTATTAAAAAAAAAAAGATAAAAAGAGTTAAAGTAAAGGTTATTTTCACTGAGACGTTAGGAGCTAGGTATGGATACAATATACTCAGCTCACTACTGGGAATGAGTGATTAATTTCCTAGAGGGAGATCAAATGCCTGCTGCGTAGCTCACCATTTAGAATCCATACAGTTCTTTTCAGCCACGGCACTATGACCATGATCCAGGACCGTAAGGATGAACTGTTAAAAGAAGGAACAATTGATGACATTCTCAGACAGAAACAGGTAATCTGGAGAACCTTCAACAGAACACGGAAAACAACAGCATGCTGGAAAGAGGGCTTTTATGACAGACTAGTGAACACAACAAAAACCTGTAAACTTTACCATGCTATCTTACAGAATGACTACGAAGGAATAAAACCATCGCTGAGTGAAAGCGAATTTAAAGCAGTCTGTTTATTCAGTCTGCAGCTTTTTTCCTTTGTTCATTAAAATATGTTATTGTAGCACAAGTGGAATTCAGGAGGTGATCTCTCCGGCTGATGGTTTGATTGGTGAGAATATTAGACTTCAACTTTATCTCAGCAAATAATGGGCTCTCTCTGGAATAGCTGAAACTTTGACAGGAAGGAAGAGACATTAGTGGGAATTTCCCCTAGATAACAGTCCTTGGTTTATAGAAATCCTGTTCCATTATCTCTAAATATTATACAGACATAAATATACAGAGCGACAGCATTTACTGTGCTGAATTTGGAAACACAGTGCTCTCTGCAAGAATCTTCAATATTTTTGTTTTACATACCTCTCTATACTCAAAATGAAAATCATAGATTTGGAGAAATGTAGTGACAAAAATACAGAACTTCTAATGGACTCAGTGCATTTTCTAATCCTTTGTCCACTCCAGTTCTATAAAGTGAAGCATACAGTCTACTTCTTTTTTGGGAAACTTTTCTCAAGAGAGCAGAACAACTATAAATTCAGACCCCACTGGTTTTAATTATTTTTTGTAAAAGGCTAGATTACTGTCTGGCTAAGATTCCTATCTATAGTCAACTGTGCTTTTTTCTCTTTGATCAGGACTAGCTTACAACATACCAGGTGGAGGAAATTATCAATAGGTAGTGTATAATTACATTGCATGTAGAATGTGAGGGAAATATATACATGGAAACTTTATTTTATGTAAACATTTTCTGCAATTTCTGTATCATAAAGCACATTGTTATTTCCTTATCAGTCCTGTTTTTGTTCTATGTTGAAACTCTATGTATTTTTGTCAAAATAGAGGTTGCATATGACACTACAGCTTGAAACCTAAGGAAAAAAAAATGCAGAACATAAATAATTTTCCTTGTTATTTCCTTTATTGGTGAATACTACAAAAGTAAAATGCTCCATACAAGATCAGTATTAGCTATGTTTCACTACTTTTTATCACAGTTGTCTCCTTATAATTACATTAAAAAAATAGAAAGTAAGGAAGTTAATCAGTTCTCCACTGGGAAATGAAAAATTGCTGACAGATCCGAAGCACATTTGCTTTTATTGTAAGACTTTATACTATTAAGCAATTTGACTTAAAAGGATGCATCCTTAGATGTTTTCCTTACATGTTATAAATTGCTATTTAAATAGGGATGGTATGCTGATATTACCATTTATCTTATTATACACTTCATTTAAGATAATCCATATGAGAGCCTGTCAGTCAGTTCTTATTCAGGGCAAACTCCTGTTCTGTTTGGCAGGGATAGGACTACAAGACAATCAGAGATCCATTGTGTAAAGCAGACTTAAGTTCCACATTTGAGATGCAATCCAGCAATGGGCCTCATTAAAATGTTCTGATGACTTTACACTCACTGTACAGTATTTCCTTTTTATTTCTACAAGTTTCTAAAATTCAGAAGTTTATTTCTAAATTTTTTTAATGTTGCAAAAAGAGGGATACTATTAAAACCCGTGACTTCTAAAAACCTGGAAAAATACTTTTAAGAATATCTGTTGCCGTAGCAGTGAGCAAATGAGCTCAGTAGTGCAGCTTTCCATGCTGCCTGTGCACATCTCTCATTGTTGGTCCACTGGGGAAGGAAGGAAGTGCCTGGGTTCAGTTCTTGATGTTCTGTAAAGCTTCTATGAGAGCTCTGTTGTATTCTGTGACCAGCTTTCTCACGTTCTTCATTATTGGCTGGTAGTCACTCTCCTGACTTTTTGTTGCTATGACTGATTAAAAGAATTAAGGAAACAAACTGCCAGTATAAATATTAGCATAATTAGAGATTATAAGGGAACCACAACACAGTCAGTTTCCTTCTGTGAAAACTGTCAAGGGTTGCAAACAATGGAAAAAACTCAAATTGGGTCTAAAAGATTTACACCAATTTACTAGCTGCCATCTCATGCCAAGTGTGGTAAAAAAAGAGATTACATGCCTAAGTCAGTTTTGGTTTTGTATATATATGCAACAGGTCCCTCATGGAAGACTGCCCATTGTTACATTGCAAACAAAACCCATTTCAAAGCACTCAGCTATTTACAGCCTTACAGTCCAGCACTTTAGAACTCTGGCTACAAAAATCCCAGTCCAAGAAAGCAGGACCTTTCTTCCCACTAGCCCAAGCAGACATACAACTCCATATATAAGGGTCCGCACTTGGATAGGTCATACATTGTAGCAAGTTAAGAGGCACTTTTAATATCCTGATCAACTTTTTCTCTTGGTTTGTTCTAGATTTTTTTTCTGTTAGAAAAAATAGGATCCAAGATCCTTGCCTTAATAAAATATTCCTGTAGATCCTTCTTCATAGAAGAGGTGGCTCCGATTACATTATGTTGTCCAAGACTTTCTTCAGATTTCTTCTAAGAATTAGAGCACTTACCAGATACTAGAAATGGGATATTTGGTATATGAAGAAGATAATGCTATATGCAGATCCTATATTTTTTTATTTTTCCCAGTGGCTACACTATTACAGAATTGCCTGAAATATATTCTTGTGCCATTTTCTGAGACATGTAGCAATGTCTATTGTCCAAGACACAACACTGGATGATACAGTCTAGTTTTGCTGTTACTTTTACCAATTATATTTGTGCTATAATCATGTAACAGTGATTCTACGCATCTTTGAGATTTCAGATTTTTTGTTTCCTAAATAATTTTAAAGAAGTGGATTTATTGCAGTGAATTCAAAGTCCCTAGAATATAAAAGTGCAACTATGCCCTACTCAGATCTCTACAATAACTATGGACAATAGTACAAAACAACAAGAACCATCAATTAATATTGAAAAACTTTAGTGCTTTTGCTAATTTCAAAAAACTACCTTATGAAAGTCATTTGCAGCAAATAAGATTTTGGTGATGTTTTGGAAGGTCTTATATGATTAGTGGGATGTAGCTCTTTAATTAGCATCACATAATGAGAGAGCTACAATGCAGTTCCCCCATCCCAGCCTATTTTGCAGCTAAAGCATCTCCTTGTTGTATCTTACCACATTTATCTGATTTTTTTCCCTCTAATATGCCATTCGTCTTTTATTTTATAAGAAATACATATGCATACAATTTGTTATTTACTATTTCATCATTGATATTTATGGTGTTTTCAAACTGCAAAATACCAAGCAGAGTCACCATGCTATACAGATTTTCAAACAATACTACACTTGCTGGATAATTTCAGATAAGACTGGACAGATGTGAAGATGATCTTCGTATGAAACCTAATGACAAAATTGACCCAACAAGAAAAACTCCAGACTGCAAGACAAATCTTACGCTTTAGGACCCTGTAAAATTGTTTCAGACAACACATGCAAGTTTTGCTATATATAATATCTGTCAGCTAACCAGATATTTGCAAAGCATTGCCTTTCCCCTCCTCCCCTGTCTCCTGCTCCCCATTCCGTCCTGTCTTATTCTGCTGGAGGAAACAGACTTCTTCCTCAATTAATACAGTGCATGAATTTTACTGTATTCCTTAAAGAAAAGGATACATTCCTTCATCATAAAGTTATTTTGCTCATGGTGCTGCCACTTCCTCTCCAAATTTGTAAGCTAAAAACACAGAAATAGCCAAAAATGAAAATGATAATTATTACACATGTACTTTATACAAAGAATCTCCAAAAAATGTTGTATCAATACCTTGTACTCTATCACTTGATAAGATCAAAGTTATTTCACAAAAAACCCACAGAAATGAGAAACAATGGCAAAATTATTTTTAAAGCTGCCAATGATTAACCTGTATATAATTTAGCACTTCATACATCTGTTTATATAAAAGCACTGCATGCAACTACAGTGGTAGATGGAAAAAATCAGATTGAGAATTCAAGACCTGTCATATAGTGAAATGTGTAAGCAAGTCAGAAGTAAGAAGGTGAACACTGCAGGGAGATACTAATTCTCATTATACTGCATATCATTTAAATGATCTCTTCTTAAAATCAGTAAGATCTAAAATCACCAAAGATACAATATTTCCTGACACTGTCTTGGACTTTGAGCTATACAGAAGAAACTTCCTTACTTCCATAGTTAAGTTTCCTGTCTGATGCCAGAAGCTGTGATAAGAACAGAGCTGCAGCGAGAAGATTGTAGCAGTGTGGGTTAAGTGCTGGCACTTCTTCAATACTTTCAGCATCAACAGGAAACTAATGTGGACATTATATCGATGGCTGCTTCCTTACAATACAATTTTATAATATTTGTTTTTCTGATGCTACTGTTCAAAGTTCTGCATTTCAAGATATGCAGATGTTATTTTTAAATGCAAATAGTGAAAATCATTCTGAGACTAAACTTTCAGTGGAAACTAAAGTAATAAATTAGGGAAATACTGTGACATTTTACCTAACAGCTTATTCTTAAGCTAGAAGATATGACAATAGTTGCTGTACTACTCAAAATAAATCTTACAGTGAAGAATCAGTTATCTAGTGTACTGGTTCACAGCAACATGGCAGTCATTTATTTCCAAGATATGACATTTCTGACCAATTACCGTTTTTATTGCCCCCTTTGTAGATGTTGCTACATGCAATACAGCCGGTAAAGGAGCCTAGGTTTAAAATACTAATACATAACAAAAGAAATATTCCATGCATTTTTATAGTAACTCCTTGAATGCCACAACTCATACAGTCAACTGCTTGCAAAATCACCTAAACCCCTCAAGATATATAAACACTATTTGTACTTCAAAATGCTTGATGCATGTCAACTAATCAGCTATTTTAAGACATACCTTTATTCACTGTCATGACATTTATACTGATGACATAAAAAACAAACAAATCCTTTTTTCACACATTGAAATAGAACTGCCACAGCTTAATGAACTGAAGAAATGCTGTACAACTATTTTAATGTAAACTTTTTAGCACCATTATGCAAGTACCTTAACACTGGCTGGGTATCCATTTCTGTTTTACATAATCTCTAGGAGTAAGAATCTGATCTTGGCATAAAAAATATACAATATCTGAAGTCTTGCAGACTTTGGCATGCAGCTTTGGGGATTTATATCATCATCCTAGAGCTAGCCCAAAATGCTCATATGCTACAAGTGTATATGTATACCTCCTCATTTAGAACTGTGCCCCTCATCTGCTGCATAAAGTTCACTCCAAAAGGAAGTTAACTTAAACATGTACAAATATCACTTTCAGCTTTTAACTGAATTAGAAAAAAGTAACAGTTCCAAAAGACAAAGATCTCAACAACCTGAAACAACAAAACCCAGTGAAATACAGAGAAAATAATCGATTTCCATTTTTCAGCTTATTTTGAGGTTATCCATTTTCCCCCTGTGCATTCAAACCTATATGCCAGTAAAATTCTGTTGCCAAAAAGACAGCAATTTATGGGTGTTTACAATGGAAGAACCAAAGCTGCTCAAGAGTTTATAAACATCTTCTTTCCTGATTCACTTTTGAAATGCAAATGAAAATATACTCATATACCAAAGTTCCTTGGGTTTAAAGAAGCCTGAACAAACCTTAAAACTTCAGTGGTCTGCAAGGAGCAGAAGGACTGGAAAAAGGGAAATGGAATAGTACAGGTTGCAAGAAAAAACTTACCACCATAACTTTAAAAGCAAGAGGGATCTTATCTAATTAGTAGTTACTTTTTATCCTGTAGTTTCTTTCTAAGTTGGTCCTCAAAACTCCACAAGCAAAGGAAGGGCAAAAGGGAAGAGTTCTGAGCAAGATTAGTACAAACACTTAAACAAACGATTCACACAATTTTTCAGCTCGGACAGACCTCCGCCTAGCAACTTTGAAATCCAAAGCTTACAAGAAATTTATTGGCATGATATTAACTTTTGTTTGAAAACAGAAAATATGGCTATGCATTTACAACACATAACTTTGAAAACTCCCTGAGAAGGAATAAACTGATTCCATCCACCTAATGCTTCATGTGTGTAAGAAAACCGAAACGGTGATAGAAACAACTGAAGAGATAATATGTAGTTTGAGCTATACCTGAGAATGTGTCTCATTCTCTTGCAGCTCTCTTTTTAGTGTTTCATACTCTGTATTCAAGTGTTCCATTATTTTCTTGAAAGCATGGCTACGTTTTGTTAATTTTTCTTTGTCATCCTGGAGTCTCTAGTTGGAAAAAAATCAAACTGATTAATGGATGAGTTCATTTTCTGTGGGCTACAGACAAATTATTTTAATTCAGCTTTCAAGATACTACTTTTTCTTCCTTTCAGAACAGGATCATATGCATAAAGAACTCATAAGGCTTTTCTCTAGCAACACATGCCGTATCCTAAAGATAATATTCGATGGTTACGACCAAGTTGTAGGCTTAGACCATACCATATCAGCACAAGTGGGAACGCTGATGTTAAGAATTTGTAGGAAATTTATCACATGTAAAATGGGACGTGCTCTAGATGGAGTTTGTCTTAGAGCAAATACGCACAGGTTAGATTTTTTTCTTTTTTGTTTGGGTTCTGTGGTTCATGGGTAGCCATAAGTTATAGCAGAAAAGTTCAGATGAATCACTAAAATAAATGGGAAATTTTGTGGAAGGAAGTTATCAGAAGGTATCTAGCTGATAGCCTGCTACATGTACCCAGTTAGTAAGTCACATATATAAGCAGAGAAGCATTTGGATTCATCTGCACTGGTCAGTCAGGATTGTCAGTTATAGACCTGGATTGCCCTCCACTAGGTGCTTAAAACCACACAAGTTCTGTATAATCCAAGTTTTCAGTCCTTTCATTACCTTCTTCTTCTCTTCTCCTGATGCTTTCAGAGCTGGCAAATTATTATAGACCTCCAACTCCATTTTTGTTTGTTCAATTTTGTCTTTAAGAGAAGCCAGTTCATCAACCATCTTGCCCTCCAAGAGTTCCATCTTCTGTAGGTCCATCTGCAGTTTTTGACTCTCTAGATCACCAGATACACAATCTCTAATTAACAGTACTTTTTATTTCATAATACATTGCCCGGTATATACAGGTTTATGCTATATTTACGCAATACAAACAGCTCCTGCATATCTTTCTGATTTTGATATTCATGGGAATGTTAATGTCAATGAATGAAAACAATCTGATCTTCACAATCGTCCCATAAGACAGACTCCTATATCACAATTACTGTATTAAACTCCATAGTGAAGACTAATGAAAATATGGTGATTTTCTATATCACACTGTGGTATTTCTATTGTTACAGTTGTTTATAGCATCAGTCAATTTCAAGTCTTAAAGCAGTGGTGATACCTTACAAAAAGTTGACTGCAATAATGCAGACAATTAAAAAAATATATTTTTGTTAGTTTTTTAGCATCATGTTGTTTTCATTTATGTTGCTTGTATATGATAAAACTTAGTTTTATGAGAGTAAATAGCCAAATTTGCTTTAAACATTTGTTCTGTACAGGAGAACACTTCCATATCTCCACAGAGTAAGAACTGTCATAGCTTACAAATTGAGCATGTACTACAATAGACAGCATTTACTTCTGACAATCCATTAAGAAGAAACACCAGAGATACAGGTAATTAAAGGAGTTGGTAGTATGGATGATTTCTTATATGAAGAGAGAGGTAAAAACTGAAACTGCTGAGACATGAGATGCGAAAGAGAGGACACAATAAAGATACACAAAATAAAAAATATACTTTGATCCAGTTTTGGGGATAAGTTATCCACCCTGAGTGTGGAAGGGCTCGATGTGGCTAGACTTGTTTTTGACGGTTTTCTGACCTGCAGCCTTGTCATTGTATTTTCTTCATGTTCCTGAACATTCAAACACATGGCTACCTAATCTTATGTTTCAGAACTGTGTCTGACACAGAAGAATGATATAAATAATGCAGGAGTTTTCCATACATTCTAAAATATCAGGCAAAGTGGACTATTGGGAGGGCTGAGACAGCACGAAGAAAATTCTCTCGGCATAGATTATAGAATCATAGAATCGTTTAGGTTGGAAAAGGCCTTTAAGATCATCCAGTCCAACCATTCACCTAACATTACCAAGCCCACCACTAAACCAGTTAAGGGGAGAGTAGCAATTTCATGTTTCCTGGCTTGGTGGCTGGGTTATTTATAATGAAAGTAAAAACTAGGAATCATGGTATATTTTGCTTACACACTCATATTTGTGCCGATCATCTGGAAAAAGGGTAGGAAATTTTCTCCCCAGCTTAACCAAGGCAGTATAGATCTTTATGGCAGAAGGGAGTGGATGTGTATTTGTGACAGAGAGAGTTCACCTTTCCAACAACGGTGGGTATCGTTTCCTTAGTGGAATTATTTGGGAAAAATCTCACCTGATCAAAACCTGTCATAGCAAGATTTTGGTACTCATCTCTTCTCATTTTTTAGAGTGAAATATTGGCTTTAATCAACATTTCTGGCTTATTACAGAGTGCTTTGGTGATTTCTTTAAGAACCTCAAAATAAAAAAAAAGACAAGCCAAGATTTTTGTGTACAATATGTAATTATCCTGAGGAACACACTTCCTTAACGTAAGACTGAAAGGGTCCTGTATGTGCAAGGAGCACTTACATAAATACAAAAAATTTCCATACCGGTAAAAAGAAGGGTTTAAAAATAAAAGGTTTGGAACTGCACTGCATGTCTGTGATTCAATGTTTATGCTGTCTTCCACCCTAAAGGGCTTAAGAAAACACTTTCCCTGTGTCTAGAATATTTCATAACTGCCAATAGTTTCACTTTGAAGTTCCTGGTATTGGTCTATGTCAGATCCTAAAACACAACTGAACAGACCACAGCTCTACTCCTCTTGTTCCTACGGCACTGCGGTTTAAAGACAGACAAATGCTTAAGGACCTCGGTAAATTAGGGCTTTAACATTAAGAATGGTAAGAAATAGAATTATAAAATATAAATAATTCAAATTGGAGAGAAATAGCAGGAAACAACTTTAAATTTTCTTAAGGATTTATTTAGGCCTAATCACAGCATTTTTGGTTTTGGCATAGTTGTTCTAATATTTATATTTTGTTATTTTAAAATAAAACATAGTTGACTAATTGGGATTTATTTTACCTGTAAAGATTAATAATAACATAAATGCCAAAAAGCCAGAAAGGATTCTTAGACTGTTTTGTCTATATACTGATAAAAACTATGTTGAGACAGCAATGGGCTATTCCTATCCATTCACACTTTCTGGAATAAAGGGAAGAAAAGGGAAGGGGTGAATTTTATCCGTCATGTAAAAAACTCAAAACTAAAAAACCTCAAAACTTCTCTAGGGGAAGAGACAGGAAGAGGATGCAGCCTAGTTCCTTCTGATACGCCATGAAGTGGCAGCGTCTAGCAGGCAGTGTGTACACAGTAGCAAACTCTCAGACCAAACTACAGTGACCCAGGGAAATGTTTTTGGGAAACCATACCATCAGCACTTTTGTTTACTCTTCATGGTTTCCTTTTCT